AATTAATTATGCAAATTAGGTAATTAATATGTACTGGTATTACCCTAAAAACTATCAGGTCTGTGTAGTGTCATGTACCAAGTTTTATTGAAATGTGATGATTAGTACTCGAGATATCAGTGGAAAAGCCAAAAATTGATTAATCATTATGCAAATTAGATAATTAATATTGTACAGATTTTTACCCAAAACTAATCAAATCTGCGCACTAGTTCAGAGCATCTATGTGCCAAGTTTCATCAAAATCCAATGGGTGGTTCTTTAGATATCAGTGGAACAATCATGGAACAGCTAAAAATCAGCTAATCCAAAACCTAATCAAATCTGCGCATTGGCCCATAGCATCTATGCACTAAGTTTCATAAAAAATCAATGTATGGTTCTTGAGATATCGGTGGAACAGACACACTAACTGCAAAGACTCCCTTTTTGTGCTTCGCACACGAGAGTCAAAAATTAAGTTTGATTTGGTGATTACCGTCACCACGACAGCCATGTTCTGCATAAGTGGGAATTCAACTTTAACAACCAAATGCTGCAACATTCTTGATAAAAGTGAAATATGCCTATCATCCAAAACAAGGTTTATTTACCCACACTCAAGCACTTACCTGGAATATTTAAGGAATTCCATTTTAGCAGGAATGCACAGTGGCAATATAAAGAGAATTGATGTCACTGATATTGTTAATCTTCTCTGTAAATACCAATGGTTACAAAAATATTCAACATCTGAAAAGAGGATCATCACTAAAAAACAAAATAAAAAAAAATAAACCATAAAATATTTACCCATCTTTTAGCCAGCCACCTGTCTACCCATCCACCAGTCTACCCATCCTTTAGCCTGCCAACTGTCCACCTATTTCTTTGCCAGCCACATGTTTGCCCATTATTAGCCAGTTACCTGTCTACCCGTATTTTAACCAGTCACCTGGCTACCTGAATTTTAACCTGCCAGCTCTTTTCTACCCGTCTTTCAGCCAGCCACCTGTCTACCCATCTTCTAGCCAGTAACCTGTCTGCTTGTCTTCCAGCCAGCCACCTGTCTACCCATCCACCAGTTTACCCATCCTTTAGCCAGCTAACTGTCCACCCATTTCTTAGCCAGCCACATGTCTACCCTTTTTCAGCCAGCCACATGTCTATCCATATTTTAACCAGCCACTTGGCTACCAGAATTTCAACCAGCCAGCTCTTTTCTCCCCATCTTCTAGCCAGTCACCTGTCTACCCATCTTCTAGCCAGTAACCTGTCTGCTTGTCTTCCAGCCAGCCACCTGTCTGCTTGTCTTCCAGCCAGCCACCTGTCTACCCATCCACCAGTTTACCCATCCTTTAGCCAGCCAACTGTCCACCCATTTCTTAGCCAGCCACATGTCTACCCTTTTTCAGCCAGCCACATGTCTACCCTTTTTCAGCCAGCCACATATCCATCCATATTTTAACTAGCCACTTGGCTACCATAATTTTAACCAGCCAGCTCTTTTCTCTCCATCTTCTAGCCAGTCACCTGTCTACTTATCTTCCAGCCAGCCACCTGTCTACCCATCTTTTAGCCAGCCACCTGTGTGCTCTCATGTCCCAAATAAACATACCCCATAACAAATCTTCAAAATCTAATAAACATACCTCTCGGAAAATTTCAAAAATGACCGGTAAATTGTTCCCTTGCACCTAAAATGTGCTCTTACTGGTGTATATGCAAACTTTCCATTCTCCTTGTAATTAAGAATATAAATTGACAACAAATGATGCATTTCTAGCAAAACACTTTATTAGGTACCTTGCTACATGGAGTGTTGGACCACTGTTGTTTAGCAAGGCTATGAATTGTACCTTTGGTGACAAATTTTGAAAGTTTTGGATTTTGGTTTTTGCCATTTCAAATAAGACATTTCTTTTGGGGGTATGCTTTTGCATGACATCATTAGGTGATACTCATCTTCTACTTCGTTCTGATCACAAAGATTGCATAATCTATTTGCAAGGGGTATTTCTTTATGTCTGCCATCTCAATTTTCAAGTTATGGTCACTGAGGCAGAATTTAGTTAAATTTTCACGCATCTCAATATTTTGCAGGGTAACAAGGTAGGTTTCAAAAGCAAAATTGGTTTTTAATTCTCTGTATGTTCTTAAATACGAAACCTGTAACAAACCTGGTTGGGAAACTTTCCAGCTAATCAGCCACAGTACAATGGTGACGTATTGTGCGAAATTGTTGAAAGAACAAAACTTTTCTTGATTTTTGTGCCACCGTGCGTCGATAAATATGCACAGGATGGCCGACAGCATTGATCAAGTTCGTCTAGTGTGACCTTCGTGGCTGGCGAAAAGCAAGAAGTCTAGGAGGCCATAATTTGTTTTTACAATAGGCGTCACGAAATGTTGAAAAATTACAGTCAATCAAAAAAACTGTTTACATGACAACAATATGCATTACTATTTTTAATTTTGTTGGCAACAAAAAGTATATTTTAAAAGAAGTTTCGAATAAAATACAGACATTGCTTAGTAGCAAACGATCACGGTATGGTAGCGAAATCCAATCATGCTGTATTTCACAAGAGAATAACTTTACTTGTTTTGAAGTGTTGCTATTCTTGATCAGTACTCAGTAGTGATTATAATAACGTACAAAAAATAAATTTGTTGAATTGTTATGAAATGCAAGCAAAATTCAACTTAATTTCATCATAAGCAAATGATTTCAGTCACATGTAAACGCTTGATGTGATACGATATCTGCCATGTTTTCCATGCGCACGAGACCTGAAACAACTGTGTTTATTGGTCAAGTTGCTAATTAACCAATCAAAATGCTGGAGGGTGCCAACGTGTTTGAATTACCATAGGTCATTTAAATATTTTAATTAATGACAGTTCAGTGACTTCATGGTGAATGCAACATAGAAGAGATTTACCGATGTTTTAGTGCGATCTTTTGACTTGATTTTGATGGGAAAACGGCATGATTTTTTTTTAATCGGCAACCGTGCGTAAACTATGCTTGGACAATAACCTGTTAATAAAAGTAAAATGCGGTACATAGTTCATGCCATATTCAGTTTACAGGTACCATTTAAAAAATAAAACCATGTCATTTATT